ACGATTGAAGCACAATTAATCGCGATAAATAATCGTCTAGGTCAGCATTCCTGCATTGATCGGATAGAAGTAGTTTTGAACAATGTCTGCAATGAAGTTTTGAAATTGTTTCGTACATTCGTACATACATTTAAGTACTATTTCCCTTTGATTTTTAACAAAACTATCGGTTATCTAGTTCACAATCATTTCAATTATCGAATTGTGTTTCCGAATTCCAAATTAGCAAGACTATTAATACGCATTCGTTCGACTAATTCCATGTGTGATGAGTATTGATTTCCAATTTTGTTGAAACTAGTATAGTCATACCTCTACATTAATGTTATAACTGCCTTCGAATATGTTGTCGGCATTAATGAGTCACTATTTACATTTTTGTATTCGCCGAGTGCTAATTAATTTGTGTTAAGCGGTAAAATGCCAGACTAATGTGGAAAATGTAGTTAAGAGTGTATATTATGGTACCATCGATATAATAAGCCTGCAAAGTAAAATTTAAATGTTTCCGCGATTTTCCATTTATTGAGCGTTTTGCTACTCAGAAACATTATCGTTGTAACTAATTATTTAAAAAACTACTCATAGAAAGCAGAAAATTGAAACATGCCAATCGTTAAAAATTTAAACGATGTTTAAAAAGCACTGAGGCAAATGGGTTGAATATGGAAAACGGTAGCAAAATCTGACCGGCAGAACGTCAATCAAATGTCAAATTTTCTGTTCCACAGTACGACTCGTTTACCCACGGTACTGATATAAAATAAATTTGAGGTTTGAAATCATATAAACCTCTCGCACTATTTCATCTACTCATCTTTGTAACCAGTACTCGGATCACGCACTTGAACATGATTCACTAGACGTTTTATACATCTGAAGATAGATGATGGCGCTGCAATTTTAATTTTAAAGACAAATGTTTATAAATCGGAATTCAGTGTTTACTTAAAATATTGATCCCTAAAAAGTGTCAATTTTTTTGGTATGATCATAGAAATAAGAGTTTATGCGGTAATTAGTTTAAATCATTTATTGGGACAAAAAAAGAATTTATAGATACATTTGAGGCGTGGACATGATACGGTACTGACCTTTAGCTGATATTGTAATGTAGGTTCTCTCTGATTATTAATTAATTACCAATGAGAACAAGCAATACAAGATATAAAAAATCACACCTTAAACAGCATCCATGAATTAATTGAGTGTGCAATAGGTTTTTCTATGCATGTAGCGCCAGAAGGGAAAAAGTTGTATTAGAGTGGTTGAGCTGATATTGCTGTAAAAATATTTTGTAAAGTGAATTATGATTATTATATATCTATAAATAAAACTTTTGTCAATGTTTGCCTACCCTTTTAACCTAATCATGCAAACCTAAGCGGAAGAATATGTAGGTACCTTCGTTAATTTTGTTACTGACTTAGACAGGTGTAATAATAATAACACGAGAAGGTCGTTGACTTGATTCGCGTGTTGCGTAAGCCAAGATCCATGGAAACATTTCTATATTTACTTTGTGTTGTAGCGTTCTCTATAGTTCAGTAACTCAGGATTATTTATTTATTTTTTATTTACACGTTTGTTTTTGTTGACTCTATGAATAGGGGTCGCTACTTCGATATACGTAATCGTAAAAAAATCAGTTTTTGTTTTGAAGGAAATTTTCCGTACGTTTGTTGATTTTTGATGTTGTTGTTTGCATTGTAACCTTCGAAAGCTCAACTACACTGCCATACTGCTAATGCTGCTAACCCATTTGAGGCATTAATAAATAACCTACCCAAATACATACGCCGCTTGGTACGAAAAGGATATAAAATTGGTTATAGATTTTTTTACACAAATAGTGGTCAAGTACCGCCGGGACTCCACTGGAATTTATAATTATCATTTGATTGGTCTTGTTGTTAATGAACACGATCGGCCACAATATTTCAGTAAAATCGGCAAAAGAATCTTTAAGATATTAAAATGAAAACGTCCTTTTCTTGTTACACGCTGTAATGACGCTTCATCAAACGAACATCTTGTGAATATCTACCGCCTACCTGTTGGTTTAGTTTGCCTATGTTTATAAGTATTCGACATTAGCTTTGTTGTACCTAGCTATCATTTTTTTTTTAAATGTCAATGCGTCAATATGTGCTCCGACCTATCCGTGAGATTTTTTATATACCCTCTAAGAAACACGTATTTTTTTAAAATTAATTCCTGTAATGTTTTTTTGTCCGTGCAATGAATAACGAATAAACGAACAAATTGTTTTTCTTACTGATCTTATAATCAGCATTCCACGAATTGCCGTCACGATGGGTTAAAAATTAAGGTTCGATGATTTTTGAAGTAAACCCTTTTCGATGTGTTTATATAAAGAACTTTTCGTGTTATCAAAAAAAAGCTGCCCGTAGTCGACTTACACTTTTATGTGATTGATTGATTGTTTTGTTGGTACATTCGTAGCTTGACAGTACCATATTCTTCCCATGCAAACACAACTATTACTTTGCATCAGTTGTGGGAAACCGCAATCCCCGTGAGTATACGAGCGTATCAGCCATCGAATTCAGCAATTTTTATCGGTTTTTCGCTTTTCTTAAGCAGAAACAGTTTACAAAACCAAGCCGAACTTTGTAAACTTTCATACGGTCACGGTTTATGAACATTAATGCATAATGACTGCTCGGATTTAAGGCGCTCATTTTTGTAAACCGAAAAATATTTGGTTTTGTTTTTACTTTATTACCCCTTTTCGCGTTTTTCTCCAGTACAATAACTTCAATATCAAAAGTAACCGAAAACTTGTCAAAAGGAAATAATCTGCCGTCGCTAAAAAATCACTACCAAAAAATGTGAATAACATTTTTTAATTTATTCCAAATTTTCATCGCCTGTGTGTCGAATCCTAAATGGTACAAACCATCCTACTTCACTTACAGATACAGTTACACACTTAAAGTTTTAAAATTGTGTAATGTTGGTTAACTCTGTTAACTCCCTCTTCCCCCCGTTTAATAATTTATGGAAGATCCCTTCAGGAAAACCAATGTTAGTTCTCGCGAGACTTCTGCATTATTTAATAATCCCGCCCTGATGAATTATGCATTGATAAGTCAATAAAGTATTTAACTTATACGTAAATACTTGGTACTGATATCCTTACAGAACCAGAACATAAATATATACAGCGCGTTTCAAAAAACACGTGCCAACGCTTAATTAATTTAATTTCCAATATACGGGATGTTCAATATTGTTAATAAAAGACCAGACTCTCAAAACAATTATTTTATGCTGCAATTTAAAAAAAAAACATTTTAAGGAATAATATTTTTGAATGTACTTTTTTTTGCTGAAGCAATTATTGACAACTAGGCGTTTAGTTATTTCATATTACGTTGTATTTGCAAAGAGTAGAGAGTAATCTTAGACTTTAATATTTGACAAAGTTATTTGCACATAAGTAACAAACTAAAGTAAATGCAATATTTTTTTCAGCTTTCTGAAAATTGCATTAGAAATATATTATTTTGAATTTAATTAGATTTAATTATTATGATTTAAGAACAAATTTTAAAAGAGACATTTTTGTTTTAAGCCCGTTACATAGGATACAATTTCTACATGTATTTCTGCGTGTCCACTGCCAAACTGCAAGAAATGTGGCCCAAAATTACCAGCGTTTGCTTTCATGAACTATAGGATTCACTTCTATGAAAAATCTCAATAAATTTGAAATCACGAAAGATTGCTCTTAAAAGTCTAAATAATAATTTTATGAGGTAGCGCACAGAAAAAGTGGAAAAAATATTCAAGAGGCAACTGTAGAACCTCCTTTAGCCAGAACGCTCAATTTGTTTAAAAAACTGTAGTTATTGCGAAATATAACAATGAAAATTAAAAGCTTTTATAGAGCAAGTCAATAAACAATTTGTTTTACAAGAACTTTACTTACAACTTAAATTAGCTCTAAATGAAAGAGAATTGTGCAGAAATTGGTTTTAGAGAATACATAATCAGTAACATATTGGATTTTATTCAGCACTTCAAATAAACATCCTCGTTTCTCTCATTTCTACTCTTGGAATTATGGATGGATTATTGTTTGTATTTTGACAATTTTCATGAATTTTATTTTTTCTCGAAAACGAATACTAGATACGAAAACAACTCGAGTCAAAATAGTTGGATTTTTAGTGCCTTATTCAATGTAAATAACAAAAAATTGCAAAAAAAAATCAGTGACAATAATTAATATTCGTAAATAAAATGTCTTATTGACGTAATCAAATTACAACAAAATAGGTCAAAAAATATTTAACATATTCACATATCCGGACCTATGAACTTTTTTCTTTTTATTTTTGAATGGCGAATTCCCAGCTGAGCGTTGTGACATGTTTTTTGAAACCTCCTATATATATATTAAGGCTGATTGTTGGGTGAATATTTTTGTTTTAAAAGTAATCGTTTCGAGATTGTGTCAGTGATAGAGGTTTGAGCTAACGGAAACCAGTGCCTATCAATAAATAAATAATGTTGAAATGTGAAATTGAAAATTAAAAATAAGTTTGTAGGCGTGAGTTCGCAGTATACAAACTACGTAGATACACTTTCTGGCAGAAATTGGTTCAACGTGCCTAAAAATTTTCGCGTCATATTTTTGCACTCTGGATTGGTTTATTCGGGCTTATTTATTCGTCGAAGTGGGATGTTTTTGTACTGAACACAGTTTATCTTTATTATTGTTATCTGAACCTAATGGAGTAGATATTTCCTTTACTAGTTATTGACGTAATTTTTCAATCCTTATCTAATAAGAGAAAATTTGTATACGAATCTATATTATATACAAACACCATGTTTCACTTTAAATTTAAATTTAAGAATGAATTGTTTATCAAAAACGCCTCGATTATAATTGCGGTTGCCAGTAATTATTGTTTTATTAACTATCCCTTTAAGTAAATTCATCTAACTTGTGTTTTTATTTTCAGGATCGTGACGTTTCTCAGTTGTTCAATAATCGTGGATCGTTCAAGCTATGGCCCCGTCCCCTGTACGTCAGTTGTTAGCGTTCAGTTTACCATCTATTGCCATACTGCTCAGCTATTTGTGGTACAAAAAGAGGAGAATTGGGCATCGAAGTGACACAGGGGGTACAAAACCGATCGAAGATAATAATAAAGCAATATCGACAGCTTATAAACTGTTGCTGGAGCCGGTGAAGGAAGACGAGAGAGAATTGAAAGAAGAACATGTAAGCAGTCCTATGCCTATTTAGCAAGTCTAAAAAAAGTTGTTGTGTTTTTTCTTAATCGTGTTGAAATGAAGTATTCTCAGTTTTTCAACACTTACTGGATGATAAGCACGCTTCGAGTTTTACTGCATATTAGGAAATGTGAAACAATTTAAAGTGGTAGTACCGAATTGGTTTTATCGCTTTACCGATATCACTAGATTAAAATGCGATAATTTTTATTTATTTATTTTTTTACTATTGGCAGTTGTTTGTTCCCCTCATATTATTTTTTTTGTTTTTCTAAGGAGACTGAATTTATTTGAAGTATGAGTACATTTATTAGACAATTATTAAAACATTTCTATGAGTGAATTCAATTTAACTTTTTCTGGTTTGGAATATTTTTTAGTAGTTCTTTCCAATTATTAAAACTAATGACATATGAATCGTTCTAACGCTTGCTCTCCCTTATCTAATTAATGATATTAATCAGGTTGACCGGCATTCCCACTCGGCATTGTGCTTTAGACGTTGATAGTTTCTTTGAACAGTGGTATTTATTTTCTACGGTAATTTTTTTTTGAGTGCCAGATCGAAGCAAGTTTACAAATTTGATATATTTTCGAAATAGTTGCACCAAAGTCGGATTGAATCCCTTATAGAGAATGTTGTTGTTTTAAAGATTGAAAAACAGAGCCCAGTTGTAACGCCATTGAAAAGGCTGGACAGATCGTTAAGCGGCGTTGAAACCAGTCCCATCGATATTGTTTATCCGTCGGAATTGAAACAGTCGTTTGTGGTTTCCGATGAAGATTTAGACGTCCATATAGAGCAGGTATTAATTATTTTTTAACATGAATATGCGCCAACTTGCAACTCAAAAATTGTATTATTCCAGATCAAATCAATTGGAACTGGATGCAGTTCACCGAGCATTATATCCGCCTCGCTTAGAACTCCACCTCTCAAATCTGCTGGAAGACAGTTAAATAAAGATAACTTATCCAAAACTGTGCCCAAATTCAACGAATCGATCATATTCGAGGCCAAAGTGATTAGTCCGTTGAAGAGGTCAGTGTCCGAACCCGCAAAGTCGACCGACATTAGAAATATGACCCAGGGGAACGTCGGATCCACGGAAAAATCCCAAACTCCAACTAGTGCCGTTAATGTTTCGAATTCGGCGAAACCTCTTAGTACTAGCCAAACTAATGCCATACAGAAGGGCAACAAGGCGGTATTGAAGAAAAACGCCAAGAACAGTGGAAAAATGCAGCAAAACATCGCTCCGAACAACGTTTCCCCAGTCCACAATAAAAGAGAAGCTGCAGGCAAAGAAATGCCCGTTTGCAACGTAAGTTATTTTGCAACCAGTTATAATTTGTTAAAAAGTTTTTTAATTACTAGTTCGCACGTTACCATTTCTTTCTTTCTAGTTGGGTTGGCTACAATTTTTTGTCAAGTCATTAATATATTATTTTTGTATTTCTACATTTTGAATCTTCGTTTAATTTCATAGCTCGTGTGATAATTTTATCTAATCTCGTAATGAATTTTGGTCGCCCCTTCGTATTGTTCTAGGATCTAGTGAGCAATCATTGCTCTCTACTCTGCTATTTTTAGAGTATTAGGCTGTTTTTTCTTCAGCTTCCAGATGCGTGCAAAAAAGAATCAAACTACCAGAACGGAACGAGTGTCGAAGAATTGCGTAGACAGCATTCCGGTCGCGATTCGGCCAATCACAGTCCGTCGGACGTAATGATGGCCAGTCCGAGCTTGAGCAGTATATCCGATAATCATAGCGAAGGATCCAATGACAGCGGTAAGGGTGGCAGTGATTTGGCGACCCCTCCCGCATCAAGGACACCCAATACCATTCAACTAGTCGAGAATGTTTGTCTGGTGTACGAGTTTACCATTCCACAGAACTTAGTTGGGAAACTGATTGGCAGGCAGGGCTGTTTCGTGCAGCATATCAAGGATAAGACAAACGCGTTTATTTTGGTTAAACCGCATCCGACCAATAACAGACTAAAGGTAATTTGTACCATCTTTCAGTGTTAACCGAAGGTTTAGTAACCTATTTTCTCTTATTTTAGACGAATTAAAGGTTTGGATTATATAATGTCATTATTTTTAAGTTGTTGCCGTTTAAATTAGTTCTAGCCTGTTGTGATCTTTTTGCACTCCACTCCTATTAAAAAGATGGGGGTTCGTAAATATTAGTGTAAAAAAATGATTAAAAAATAGGAAGGAAAAGAAAATTGTAAAGTTTTTGCAGTTGCTTTAGGAATGATATTTAAATACAAATTTTAAAAAAGTAAGGTTAATAATAATTGAAAGGCACGCGGGAAAAGCGATCCAAAATATCGAAAAACCGGATGGTATTTCAGCATGCTCATTTTATTTCATCCTTATTTATTAAACTGTTGAACTGCTGATCTAACTCCGTTAGATTCATAACAGTAGTAGTGATGATCAATTTGATGTTTTTTACTGATCATAAAGATCAACACTCATCAGAATAGAAAAACGTCATCCTCATATGACATTAATAAATCGTCTAGAAAATATAAATATAGTTTCTTTCAGTCACTTCAAAGCTGAAATCTTCAAACTTGCCCAAATCGACTTAGATCGTTTTTTCCTGCGTGCTCTCCAATTAATGAAAATCGAAACGTTCAGATTATGAAAGGCTTGACATTGAACAGCTTATATTGCTAGTGTACAGTTTATGTTCTAATTTATGTTCAACTAAGGGCATGTTACATTTTTTTTCCAGGTCTGTTCAGTAGAAGGATTTCAGTCTGAAATAGATGAAGCTCTCAAACTGATCCGTGAAAAATTTCCTTTAAAAAAATACCCGGATGTTACATTCGAGCAAGTTACTTTAAGTCCATTGGTTCCTACAGTGCCTCTCATTCCGGATCACTTATATGTGAGTTAATTTGCGTCGCGGCCTCTTTACGGTGGCGATAATTTTTCTCGTTGTAGTTGAAACTAGTAGAAGGTATTAACAATGACACAATACTGAGCTGCATGGTGACGCCCAACCATCTGTTTATGCAACAACCGACGCACCCTTCGTACCCCAACCTGAACGTCCTCGCGAGCTACATGAACGGCTGTTACACAGAGAACGACTCGCCCTTGCTACCCACTCCTATACCAGGTTATAGACGTCAAATTATTTCGGTTGGATTAATTCGTTATCTAGAGACATTTCGTTTTCAGAAAACACGATATGCGCCGCCTATTCGGTGGACTCGTGGTGCAGGGCAATAATACTATCATCGGATGAGGAGTCGGAAACCTCCTATGTCAAATTTCTGGATTACGGCGGTTACGCGTGCGTCGAAAACGACAAGTTACGGCAGATCAGGCAGGATTTTATGCTGCTACCCTTCCAAGCGTCTGAGTGCTTTTTGAGCAACGTTAAAGCCAAAAGTGGTGAGTGGTTGCTAATTGGTGTTAATCTTTGGTTGTTAAATTGTATGACCTATTTTTCAGAGGATGGAACGTGGGCACCTCAGGCCTACGATTTGGTCGCGGACATTACAAGAGGCTCCATTATTTACACGCAAATCGCGGACTACACCCCAGAAGGGATCCCCTTAGTGCTGTGTTACGTAGTTTCCGGACCCAGGGTAAGTTTTGTATTGCCAATATTTACTTATATTGTTTATTACCTTTTAAGTTTTTATTATTTGAATGAGGACAATAGACAATAAAAATCACGTCATGCTTTGCTAAAAAAATTGAATACGCCGATTATTTAAGTAAACAAACAAAATTTTGGCTGACTGTCAGCACCGCTTCAGAACAGGTAGATCAACCCAAACAGCGATTCATTCATTTCTGGGGCATGCTAGGGAGCTGTAGGGATATTTTGCAATCTTAGCTGGACGTTTGATGTATGTACCACAAAACTCTTTTGAAAAGGATGGAACAAAACAATAGGGAAGCTTAGCTCTGAACTGGTTTAAGTCGTTCTTAACTTTTAAGTGTCATAGGCAGAAAAGGGCAACTTGTGTCAAATTAAAAAAATCTCAAGTTCAATTGGTCGATAGGTACAGTGCTTGGCCCAGTTTTATTTTTCCTTTTTTTCAATGAATTTTCTGCTCAGCTGCTTAGTTAGGATTTACCAGAGTTCATTGACCACTGTTCAAGTTTAATCTGCTCACACTGTTATCAAACTCTTGAGGACCGAATAAATTCAGCGCTTGCACGCCTAAACAGCAGGTCTAACACCAACTCTTTTTAAATCCAAACTAACTACTAGCTACAAAACTGTTTTTATAATTTTAAGGAATATTTTGCTTGTTAATGATTGTTATCACTGTATTGTGCTCTATCACATATTTTTGATGATATACATTTTTAATGTGATCGATATTGTGTGCGTAATTTTAACCTGTTTGACAAAATCGATATTACACTGATTTTGTTCTATGTGGGATAATAAAGATATTATTATTGTTATTATTATTATTATCATTGAGAATAAAAACAATACTCGCCATCTCTGAAAGAATTCTATCTCTATATATCTATCGAATTTGACGTAACTTACTGTACAATACAGAAAAAATGTGCAACAGAAACTAAAGCAGACTACATACATGCAGATACAGATACATGCAGGCAAGCGTGAAGACTTGAATGTACAGGTCGAGACGCGCGGGTAAGTGCGAATGTGTATGTGTTAAAACTCACGGCGCGTTCAGTTCCAAGCGCGGCTCGAATCGAATCAGATTGTGTCTGATTTTTAGAGCAAGTGCGGGCCCCCTCCACCAACTGGTGAACCTCGAGGTTTACCTGAATAGTGTGGGGCCGCAATTGGTTTCGCACTTGCTCGCGGGCTTACCTGGACACATTTGCGCGCGGACTTGCCTGCAGGTGTATAGCCCCCATAACAACTCCTGTGATCTTAAATTATCCTTATATAGGAAATCTGGAGATTTTATTTTTGTGGTTTATTTGAATAAGTATTTTTGATGTTTTATTTTGTAGTTTTCTTAATAACACAACTACTAATTTAAAAGATCTTCATTACTAACTGCCTCTACAGTTAATACTTTTTTGTTAAATATTATTCCCCAAATAAGAAACTGAGGGAATGAAGGAAGCATTCAACCAAAAGCATTTATGAGTAATATGTTTCAAAATTTTCGATTTGAAAATCAGTTATAGCTACAATTATGTAATTTAATTGATTTATAGATTTAATTAGTTTATACTTTGGAGTTCTGAAAATATTTTCTTACATAGGGCTAAGTATTCCCTCTTCATGCCCTTTCGCTTTTGCTTATTATTTCGCCAATAAATTGAACTGCACTTAAATATTTCTCGAGATGTATCACTGTAAAACTTGAAAAAATATCCGTATGCGGATTTGGTTGTTTACCTAACAGATTTCAGATTTTAATCTATAGTTCTCTTGTAACCAAGTTCGTGTTGTGTTGGTGTTTTTGACATTTAGAGTCGCATTTGACGATGATTTAGTGATTTGCCAAATAATTATTTTTGTTATTGAATGCAATGCAAGAATGGCTGTTTAATGTTACACATAGTGACCTGGAAACGCATTCTGTGTAAAAGCAATAGAAGGCAACTAACTGGTTCGTAGTTGTTTATTTTACTACATTATTCTCTCACTCATTGTAAAAATGCAAAAGCAACATCACAAAATAAGAATTTAGGTTCCTTAAGTATACAAATTTAATATCAAAATTAAAAATATAAAAGTGATAGCACAGAATTTGAGGAGTTTGGTAGTTTATTGCGCTAGTCAAATCAATTCTGCTATTGTTTCTGTTCATAAAATGTTTGTTTTGGTTAGTTAAGCAATTACATGAAGCCAAAACATAGTTAATTTAGCATAGTTAATAGGTCTTCGCAAAAGTCTTACTCGCTCTAAAGTGAAAATAGGTATCTATGGTTCCTTTTTTTTTAGGACGTAGTCTTTTTGAACCAAAGGCTTGTTGACGAGGGCTTCGCAGAATGGGTGAGCTTTGAGGACTCGTCTAAGGCTGAACCCGCGACAGCAACCGTTACGGCGTAAATCAAATTTTCTGTTTTCCGATGTTTTTTTTTATTTATGTTAATCGCGCAGGTGAGTGTCGGACCGTTTTGGGTGTGACGCGTTCAATAGTTATCTTCCAAATTTACGATGCTTCATTTCGTTTTCGATTGTACATTTAGATCCTTTAAGTATTTTTAGAAACTTAACGTTTTTGAGTTAGCACTTAAGAGTTTTTATTATATTATATACGATTAGTACATTACGTTGTTATTCTTGATGCACTTTTAGTGGAAACGACTAGTGAGTTAAAACGACTGATGTTGATGTAGTTGAACCGTGGTGGATTAATAAAAAGTATATTAGAGGTACGGGCGACTAAGAGTTGGGAATTTCTGGTTTTGTTTTGTTATTATTTTGGGAAGTTAAAATATTTTGGTGGGTAAGCATCTTTTGTGGGTTTTAGTGCCGTGTCCTGCAATTTCAAAGCCTTATTTGTTGCAATTGAAAAAACGTTACACTTTTAATTTTCTCCATAAATGAAAAACTGTACTAAAAATGTTTACATTTTTATATAACTTTGCAGACTGTACTCTTCCTATTAGGTTAACCTATTCATGCCAACTACCACCAATATAACCTAATTTGGTAAAATCATGAATTCAATTAGCATTAAAAAATCTTGATTAGTTTTTTCTAAAATATGCTGCAACAAAACCGTGGTAGAACAACTAATTGGAGAATTAAGGGATGATGCTTCAGGTGCTCTCGGAAAAAAAGGTTGTTGCCCGTACAAGTAAACAACTTTAACTGCATTGTTTCTTTTGTTTTTTAATTTGTGATAATTTCATTCATCGCTGGGCTGTATTGTATTAAACTCATTAATCGATTCTGTAATGATTATTTTTAATAATGGAAAATCTAGCGAAAAGAATAGAAGAGGACATTGGTTTTTATGGATTGAGATTGAAAATAAGTACCGAAAATATCACTATGTATTTATGACAAAATTTGTTTTATCCACATTTAGCCTTAATTTGGAGGTTTTAAGCTTAGCTCCCTAATTAGTGAATTGTTTTTTTTTTGTTTTTTTTTGTATATATTATTAATTATTAAATTATACTTTTTTTTGGTATTGCTTATTATTGTCTTAGCACAAAAATGTTACTAGTATATCCTAATATCCTAGACATATTATATGGTCTCTTTTCAGGGTTTCACTTTGAATTGTTAAGAGGAGTTGGTTGAGCGGTTCGAAAAATATCTGAGGCAGTAAGACCCTTTAATGTGTCTCACAAACTCTAAAGATCAGTCAAATGCGATAATCACGTGTTTTCTTTGAAAAAAGGCTTCTAGTGATTATCGTTGCCTGCGTTTTCGGATATCGACTAAATCTATGTTTTTGGGACACAGTTCTTTGTACACTTTTGTTTCTATGGAAAATATAAAAATGGATTCTTCAAGAAGACAAAGAAACTTTGTAAATATTCCAAAGGGGTGTTTAAATTTGCAGAACGAATGCATCAAAGGTAATTTATGTACATTTGGAAACATGTGGAAGTTACAGTTAATTTTGTTTTAGTTGATAAGACTTCGATTACACAGTAAACCTCTTCCTAATTTGTTTGAACCATTGGAGAATCAATTGTGGAAATGTGATGACATATTTTTAGTAAGGCTTCATTTTGTCGGCCTACTACTCTGTGGAGGTTTGAATTTTAAAAACGGTGTTTTCAAAAAATTTCCTTTTTTGAAATTACTATTTTTTAATTCATATAAGCTGGCCCTGGCGCCTTTTTAAACAACCGTTGTATTTATACGTAGTGACCATGAGTCACCACGTACAAATAATCATATCAGAGATGGCATCACAGGGCTAGCTTGAATATTGTCATAGAAAATAACCTAACAAAATACAATTGCAAATATTTTGTTTTGCCATATTCTCAAATATTCGACTTGGTGTCAATAAAGGGTAGAACGGGAGGGACTTACTAATGCACGCATGCTTGTACAGTATTTGTATTTGTATTGAAGGACTAAAAAGGAGTCAAAATAGTATTTGGATTTGAATTGTTATGGAAAATTTTTACAAAGTTTTACTTAAGTGGACACAAATATTGCAAATGCCTAAAAATAAATAACATTTAAAACAAAAGTACACTTGACTATTGATTATTTTCATTTCTCATTAAGAAATATAATCACAAGTACTACTAAGGGGACAATTTTTTAATGTAATTAAAACCATTTTGCTTGGATAAATGCCCTGCATTTTAATATTTTTAAAGAAATTTTAAATTTCCTTTCGTTTCTTTTTATTTAATTAAACTCTTTGAGAACATAGAATATAGTCAAAAATGTCTAGGGCCAACAAAATCGGGTGTCTTGTCTCTGAAGTGACAACAGGTTCAGCTTTGTATCTAATATTCCGTTTTCTGCTGTGCAGAATCTGGATGCTTTTGTTGGAATCAGAGCTGATTAGAAGTTACCACTTTTTATTTCCTACCGCTCAACCCCATCCTAATAGCCAGTTAAAATATTCTTGATATCTATTTTGATTTCATAGTAATTTTTGTATATATTTAGGTTTCTTGTACTATAACAAATTTTTGGATTTCATCGTAATAATATATTAATAAAACTATGTATTTTCAAGCGATTATTTGATTGATTCACCATCACCCCATAATTGAAGTACTGGCGTCCTATTTAAGAAACACAATAATTGCAATTTTGCTTCATGTTTGCATTTATTGGCTAAGTGAATGGAGCTCTGGAGGGTTTCAAGAAATAAAAAAAAACTAAAAATGCTGGAGATAATGAAAATTTTGATTTAAATAAAACACATTGAACAACGCTTAGAAAAATATATTTTTCCAAATTTTTCCAACTTAATAACATCAATAATTTAAAACAGATACGTGCAAATTGCACAAAAATATTTGTATAGAAAGAACCCTTCCTCGGACACACAGCACAGTATTTACAACCTTTCTCACTCCAAGAATTCTTTTAAAACATTTCATTAAAAAATCTTTTTTAAAACTTAATTGTTAAAATAAAAGCAACATAAACATACACCCTAAATAAATATAAATTAACATTAATAAATGTTGAAACAATATTATTATACGCACCTTAAGAGTATAATTTTGATGTCTCAATTATGAAAGTTAGCAGTAATTTTCAATCTAGTGATTATTTAAGAATTCTCCAAATATCTTCAAATATATAGTTTCATTTTGATTCCCCCTAAAGGTGCTGATGATACTATACTTAATTCCCAAGTAAACAAAAACTACCTGGCTAAATCTCAAGTAAAAGTAGCTGCAAAACTGTGGTAATATTTTTTGCTTTGCTAATATTTACACATATAGGCACCATTCGTCAGCTTGTTTAAAAATTGTATACATAAAAATATCTAAAATAAAGACCCTTTAAATTATTTTGTTAAATCCAACTACAGTTGACTTTGCAATGTCACAACTCTGACTATTTAATCAAGTTAACCAGAATTCTTATTTATGTACAGGAACTGAGCGCATTGCAAAGGCAAAGGTCTGATAAAGGCACGTACGTTTACATCAAAATACTTGTCGAGTGGCGCGGTGTCTCAAGTTTAAATGCAATTTTTAAAGGCAGCCTAATTTGAGTGTGTACACATTAACTCCAAACGTCCATGGAAATACGTTTTTGAGTCTCCATTTTCTTAGTGTAAGCAAGAGCCTGTTGCTCAGTCATGTTGCCCTTACTCTGGATGATTTTCTGCAGTATGTTGCGTACGTCGTTGGCCATTGATTTCGCGTCGCTGAAATTAAAAATTGTAGATAGTAAATAAAATGAAAGATAATTTATCAGATTTTTTATTAAAATTTGCTGATATTAGATCTTGGCTTGATGGTTTATAAGGTTATATTGCCATAAAAAGTTACAGTGGTCTTGACATAGTTTTCACTATAAATTTTAGGTTCAGATGAGAATATTATACTGCTATATAAACTTCGAGATACAATGAGGAGAAACAAAAACACAATCTTTAAAACAGGTCCAGAAAAAGAAAAAAATGAAAAAATATTAATTTCTACTTTTAATAAATATAAAATAATCACTCATTATTTGAAATTTTTGAGTCAAAAGTTCGGACCGCAAATTATTATTATTTGATTTTAAGAAAGTGTTCAAACCTTTTTGTAGTCAATAAATTAAAATATTTAAAATCGCATATGCGAATAAAAAAAGCAAGTTTAAATGTACTAACAATGTTTTAAACTTTAATATTCTAGGATAATACCATGGTTGGTTACTGATTTAACTGATTTAATAATAGCCATTAAAAAGTTCTAAGAATTCATGCTGAAATAACCCACAAAACAGTTGACAATGGTAAACTAAAAAGCAAGCATTGCTTTACATAATAATTCGTTTGAATAACGTGTTTTTTTTTTTTGCACATTTTTCCCATAAGATAAAATTTAGCATTACAGTCCTTGTTCATTTTATAAGGAACATTAACTTGATAAAAAGTCAGTGAATTTTGTATCAGCTTAAAAAACTTTTTTCTTTCAAGTATCTCCCTATACACATTTTTTAACAATGTATCAATAGTATATACCAAAATCAGTTTTACTAGAAGTTTGTGTTGGTGGTGTACACTCACAAAGAGACATTTCATTGGTTTCATTGGGCGTTGGTATTATGCTCACATTCGCAAGGAGCAAGAATTAGAACGCCGGAAAAAACAAAAGACAAACATTTTTACATGCAATACAACTTACCCGCAAATATAAAGATGTCCGTTGTTTTCGAAAACGTTCCAAATCTGATCCGCGTCTTGCTCTATCAAGTGAGTGACGTACACTTTGTGCGCCTGATCTCTGGAAAACGCGACCCTTAACGTGAGCAACCCGTTCTTTTCGTACTCCTCGAATTCCTCTTGGTAAAGGTAATCTTCCGTCTTGCGCCTACATCCATAATACAGGATCGTCTGGCCCACCTGTTTGCCTTCTTGTTTGGAGAAGTTCCTCTCCTGAACGAAGCCCCGGAAAGGTGCCACTCCCGTTCCTGGTCCGATCATCACAATCGGAGTCTGAGGCTTCGTTGGCAGCCTGAATTGAGATTTACGGATGAATACGGGAACCGTAATGGGAGGCGCGTCAGGTTTAGGAATTTTTTCTCTTAACCAGGTGGTCGCCACGCCCTTATTGAGACGATTGGTCGGGGTTGTGTACTCCACTACTACGGCCGTGATATGTACGGTGCTCGGATACACTTTCGCCGATGATGATATGGAGTAGTAACGCGGTTGCAGACGCGGCAACAATTCGCAAAGATGATCTAGAGCAGGCTTGCACGATGGCATGTCTTCCAAAATGTGAACGATATTTCTATTATCTTCGATGATCCATTTGTTGTACAATGCTTTGCCTTCTGTCGTGTTGCTAGCCATCAGTTTGAATTTTTCTTTTTCAGCAGGTTCGGAACAATACTCTGCCAACTCCATTAATATGTGGGTTCTTGGATTTTGCGTTATGTCTAAATAATGAGTGAGAGCGGTTCGGTAGGAACAAGGACATGGGAAAGGGTGCCTTTTGCTGGAATCTTCGTCAGTATTAATGAGCGAAAAGATGGTATCCAGATTCTTTTCGCAAAGCCTTCCGATTTTCTCAACCAGCTCGGTGTTATTGACTGGATATACGGCCAAATGGTCGCCGGAGTCGTAGCGCATTTTTGAATCTTCAATATCGAACTCAATGTGCATACAACTGCGGTCGCTGTTTTGGAACAATTCCCGGTTGACGTTGATCTTTGCCAGGTAGGGGTTCTTGGCGTCGTAAGGTCTAAAACGCAAAAAAAAATCTTATTCGTTTGCCACCGAGGCACGAGAGGGTGTGACGTACGGTCGTTGATTTTTAAGGGAATGTAATCTGGCCATTTCTCCGGTGTACACTCTGTCGGGAGCGTCGTCATACTCCTCCAGCCTGTATTGACGAATGTTGATGTCTTCGGCGGTGGAATCAATACCGAAATGTTCACAGACCGCTGGCCAGAACTTGTCCTTCCAGGTAATGAAGTCATCTTCGATGCTGAAATGGGAGTTTCAAAAATAGTCGTAATTGTTATTTTTAGTTTATGCTATTCCAGAATAAGTAGATTATTAGAAACCTGTGTTATAATAAAATTCAGAATTCTTCAATTTGTTCCATTCACAGAAACTTCTAGGGAATCGCTACAGCGAATAATATTTTTTATTGAATACTCTGTTGACACATGTTAGGTCAGCTGTTCTAGAATAGCAAAAGGTGTTATTCTTCAACTTAAATATGTAAAATCAACCATCGTTAGATAAATAGGATAGATTCCGTATGCTTATAGTATAATATTGCCCAGACAAATATTCATGACATGCCCAGAACAGGTCTGACAAGTTATTGACGAAATTATCAAAACCGGCACTCATATTGCCCATCATTTGTATCTCAACTTCTCTTTTGGACAATAGAACATCATTTTATATTGTGAACAGAACAAATGTATTGGTGTATTGGTTATTTCACGAACTATCTACTGGTTTCCAGAGAAACCCCGTTTAATTAATATGTTTATTTGAAAAACAATATATTTGCAAAAAGGCAAATATGAAAAAATCTATAAAAACTGCTGCTAAGTTTTATAAGTTAGCGTTGCCGCTGAGCGGAAAAGTTAATCCGATGGCAGGTATTCTATAAGCCAAGGTTAGTGTTAACTCTAATCCATCTGCCGACTCTCTATTTCTAGAGTAAAAAAAAAGCTAGCTGCTGTGAGATAATAAAATTGCCAGTAAGGGGTTATGATTTTTTTGTTATTGCTAGTAGAGCGAGTTTTTCGCGGACAAATCCAAAACTGAATTCGGTCACGAAATGTACCGGTTAACCGTCAGAATGATTTTCAACGATTCATTATTTAGTAACACCACAATTAGAACTGTAAAATTTTTCCGTTGCTTATTTGCAATTAATTAGATATTTTTTGATCATATTTCACATTTATATGACATCATTTAACTGTTGCCATATCACCGCTTCATCGCAAAAATCCGAGTAATTGAAATTCAGTTCCCACATTTTCCTCTTTGTTGTATTTGAAATGTTTTTAAAAAAATCATTAAAAATGATAAAAAAAAGCGTATGGACGAAAAAGTAATATGAGTAAAGTCCATTTTATAAACTACTTTATAAGTATTTAATTTAAAAAAAAATGAAAAAAAGAAAACATGCATATGCAGTCAAAATCCTAAATTTATATTAATTAAAAGCGACTTTGACGAACTGACTGTTTAGGGAGTCTACTTTGCATACATGTTAAATATGCGCCACAATTTATAGTTGTAATCCCAATTTTAAGTACAATATGTCAATAATATTGAAGAAGAAAGTATTAAATTTAAAAGGTAGTAATTTTAATTTTATATCCTAAAGTGAATTTGCATAAAAACGGTATATTGAATTTTTGTCACTGAAATTAATACCTACTTAGCGTCATCATCCCCGAGACCCAATTCGAAGACGCGAGTAGCGCCCAACTCTTCCAAACGTTTATCCATATAGATGGCAACCTCGTTGTAGTGCTCGTAGGTTTTGTTTCCCAATCCGAAAACCTGAAATCAAATTTTATATTTGTTGTAGGAAATATTTTACAATTTTGTTTTTAAACGCGTACAATAAAAGAAGATTTTACATCTTGATATAAGCAATAAAAATTCTGGTCCGGGCGCTTCTACGCGAATTTTATGGCAACAAAAACCTTGTGCTGTTTTTTTTTCCGGGCTTTAAAATATTTCCCTTGCATAGCATACAAATTCGTTTACGTAGTTGTCTGCACACGACGACCATATACTAAACCACGAATTATAAGCTTTTAGCCCTATTTGGAATAACTGGAGCGCTAAGAACCTAAGAAGCTAAGAAGTCTTGGAAGTATGGACATTGAAATACATGCCTTGTATATCTAGGTTCGTAAAAAACAGGTGAAATTAGGGGCAAAGCTAAGGCCTTATTGAGATACAACTCTAAAAAGGATCTGGACATTTGAAAATCCCTCTTATAAACTAACAGCGTAAGGTAAATATGGTCCAGCTATTTTATAAAATTACGTTTTGACCGTTTTTTTTTTTAATAATTGCTTATTAATTAAAGATCTTGTTTAAGTTAGGATTAATAGAATTAGGTGTTTTCTGATTGGACGTCCATAAGCTAGTGTGTTTCTTTAGATATAGAGTAAAGTTTTTGAAAACACATAACTGCTATGATAATAACTGTATTAGGTATAAGTAGTTTATGTCAAAAAATGCAGGACATAGTGCACAGGAACGCCCGCTGGTAACTTTTATTGCAAATATTATACTGGTGTTACTAATGCTATTAAATAAAAAAACTTATATTTTTTTGGAAATTTAATTAGACAATTTGTTTTTCACTCGTTTTACTCACAGCGTAATTCAATCCAGAAAGATCTGCATCGCCGTTCTGAAGCCATTCGAAGAATTCCATGGCGTTATCGGTTGGATCGCCTTCGCCATATGTCGCCATGCAAAATATGGCCAACGAATTTGGTATATTTTTCAAATTCACTAATTCTTCCTAAGAACAAAAAGAAAACGGTCAATGAATTTCGATAAGTTAACGGTACAAAAAGTTCTGTGGCTAAATTGTTTGCGAAAAATGTTTTAATGAATATATTTTATATTAGCTTGGCTTTTTCAATCCGACACTAAGTCAATATTTGTCGGACAAATGCGACTGAAATATCTCAAAAAACATTGTTAAATATCAGCATATCATTAAAGAATATACCGGATAATGATCATCCAGTTGGAGCATTTTGTCCATTTATTGGGCAACATTGTAGGTTATTGGTTCTATTTAACGAAATCGATAACAATTAATTCTGAACGCCATTTTAGTGTGATAGTTATCTAATCGATTTTTTTTTCAGTTAGTTGAATATAAGACGCAAAAATTAATAATTAATTAAAATTGCAACATTTCGAGGATACGCACGTCGGCAACATTGATAACAGGAACTGGAAAATACGAAAGTTTTTTTTTTGACAAATTGAAACTACGAATGTTATTTGTGATTTTGATAATGGTGATAACAAATTGTAGGCGGGAATGTTAGTGAGAATAAAATATAAACGTTTCATTTGTGTTTTTTTTTTCAAATAATAAGTTTGACCTTGTACAGCCCAGAACTGATAAATAAATGCTACGTTAAACGAAATTTAACAATATGTTATCATAATTAACACGGGCGCTTCGTGTAATAAATTAAGTACGTATCACTTGAAACCCATGAAAACGTTTCGAGGAAAGTCGCAGATTACATCATCGGAATTGTTTACATTTCTAGCAATATTAGCATGTATGACTGTTGCACTATAGTGCAAAATGTTCTTAAGCCATAGCGTCTTTTCAAGAGTTTCTAGAAATGTTATCCAGCTTAGATAGGCGGGTCAAAATAAATTACTATCCACACTAAACCAAGAAGCACAAAAATTTTAGAATCAACGTTTGTTATTATTTTTATTTTTGAGAACCTATTCTTTAGCATCACTAGTTTCGCTAGTTTCTTTCTTGATACACAAAGCAAACAACCACAAATGGAAATTATAAAGCCAATAAAAAAATGGTTTTTGGTTTTGGACATTTATCATTATTTTTTGCGAATTATCTTTATTGTATTCGATGTATTGTATTGTATTTTATTTCGTTTGATAGCAAGCGAGAAACAATAGATAAAATATTAATTGTTTTTTCTTGGAAATTATAAAGCAAATAAATAAATGTTTTTGGACACTTATGATTATTTATTGAGTTTTATTGTATTCGATGTATCGCATCGTATTGCATTTCGACTAAAAAACACTTTTTTACATTTTTATCACCTATTAAAAAAATCTTTATACCACTGTGCGTACTGTGAATTAGAACAAAGCCTTACCATATCACATTCTTCTGGATCCGCGACCATACCCTTAAGTCGATACCTCACACCCTCTTTAGCCAAACGGCCGGCGAATTCTTCAGCGGTCCCGGTCTGGCTTCCGTAGAAGACCACCAGGCTTCTACCCGAAGACTGGAGCTTCTTCACGAACGAGCTTTCACCAGTGGACTGTATCGTCATCGATGTGGGTCTGATACAAAAGACAAAAAAAAATTATGTTTTACAGAAACAGTTTAAAAACAGAAGTATCAAAAAAAACTTTTTGCTGATAAAAAGAAAAAAAAATTATAAATTTCTCAAGAAATGCTCAGAAATTAACATCGAAGATCTAGGTGCTATTACTTCTACTCGATGTCCGTAAGATCGAAAACACTGCGCGAGGGGGCCACGAACGACTTTTAAATATTAAGAATTGCATATTTTGAAGTATTATCTAATATAAATGCGCAATTTACTGAAATGTACAGGAAATTTGAAAAATACTGTATAGTACTTAGAAGAAGATTATTGCAATACTGTAACAAGCGACCCAAGGATAAAAGCAGCTTGTGGGTGTCAATGATTTCAAATAATTTGAAGCGAATCGTAATTTTGATAAAACATAATTTTAGGAGGAGTTAATTGTTGATTGAGTGTATTAACACACTAGGCTTACGAAAACTTGTGATTTAAATAAAAATACCACCCATTTTCGCAGCTTTAGATTTTTTTGGATTATATATAACATACAAATTATATCATATTGAATAAACATTCTAATTAGGAAAATAGCAAACAAGTATGATTATTAAGTTGTATTTTGCGTAATTTGCGTCCTAATTCTTACGACGTAAACGAAATTTCTGCCCAAATGCTAAAAAATTGCATGCCTGTTATTGATCCCTACATTAGAAACATGATTTTTGCATCGAGTAGGATTATTTTCCTCAACTGTGGTGTGTTGCTGTTGGCAAACCTCTGCCTAAAAAACCTAACACGAAACAATTTTCTCGTCTGCGTGATAAGCACATTTATGGATACATGATGGTGAACAGAATTTTACCGGACTCACAATGTGGGTTTAGAAGGGGATACAGCACAGCAACCGCCCTAGCCACGGTGGTAAGTGACATAGTTGAGGCCTATGACAGAGGTGAGATTACGGTACTCGTCTAAGATTTTTGAAAAGCGTTTAACACCAATAATGTTAGTCAAACTTACTATTCAGCTGTAAATGCATCTAAATCATATTTACATGGCAGATCTCAGAATATAGATTAGAATGGTAAAACTTCATCGAGAATGAGTATATCGTCTGGGGTTCCACAGCGCAGCGTTGGGACCTTTTTTTATTTATACAACTAGTATTTTAAAGTCTGTAGTTGCCTGCAGTGCTCAGGCCTACGCTGACGATGAACATCTTTATATTAGTATTAATAATAATAATACTAAGAATAGGGAAACAATGATTAACAATGAATTAGAGAGTTGGTGTAAATTATGATTGGAACATAATCTTAAATTAAATGCACTATTCTTTAGTAGCTAAACAACAATTTCTTTGAAAATTAATAATATTCCCTTAAATGTCGTTGATTCCGCTAGAAATCTTGGAATCATCTTAAATACGGAGCTTAGGTTTGGCGAATATGTTAAGAAACCATTTCAAAAAGCTATTAACTTAAAATTTTTATATTCAAGCAAACATTTCGTCAATGCAACTCTAAAAGGTAATCTATGCGAAAGCTACGATTGCGATTTTTTTATGAACGATTTCTTTTATGGCCCGCGTCTAGATCTAGAGTCTGGGATTCGAATTCAAAAAATTCAAAATAGCGGTCACGAGCTGACTTGCAATCTTCGAAAATATGATCATGTGTCAGAAAAAAATAATAGAATTGGGCTTTTAAAAATGGAAAAGCGTAGAACTCTCCATTCGGCAAATTTTACTCATTATTACTCATTACAATGTTTAGGAGAAGCAATGTCTATAATGCAATTATGCAAAAAAGGTTAAAATAAAAATTAAAAAATACCAACGTTCTGAAGAACATGAAGAACCCTTCTATACTCAACATGCGATTCATACACACATGACATTTTATAGCATTCGAGTGTTGTTTTTGCAATTTTTCAGTTCTCGAAAAAGTATTTGTGCTTAAATGTATTTGTTTCGTTGAAAATTAACAAAATCTAAACCAAAAATATCAAGATTAGTAGCATACCACCATCGGGTTATAGATTGCCTTTCTCAAGCACCATCAAAGAATTTAGAAGTTACTTTGTGGTATAAATAGACGTATTAGTGAGAATCGTAATAAAACAATATTCTGTAGCCGAAAATTAATGTATATTTCCGCGGGGCTTTTGCTGATGTCCGCTGCAATGAACGCCTCCAATGGACACGTAATGGCACCGTGATGAAAGCAACATGGATCATCCCGGTGTAGCTGTTAAAAGTCACTTACTGTATGGAATATGATTTTCCGTTAGCGACGATATCCGCGCTCCTGTTATTCTTCTTCATCAGGTACCAGGTAAGGGCACCGATGACGACCGCCAACAGGACCACATCGAACGTGTTAAAAAGTGACTCTTCGCTCGGAATATGCTGAGTCTGTACGTCGGCTGATGCCTCGTCCATCGTGCTAATCTGCAAAGACATAACACGTTTCATTTTTTTTACTTCTGCAAGCGTGTTAAAGTGTAGTAGTTTCAGCTTTTTTTTTATCGCACATCTTAATTTTCTGGAAATGCAAGCACACACGATATACGATCGGCTTGTTACAATGTTTCACGTTTCTATATTTTCCATGTCATAGAACCAAGTTGAACATATTTCCAAAATAGGATGTCCGGCTGTGAAGATCAATATTGGGGACAACTATTTGTTTCTCTCTGTGATAATAATGAAAATATTTTTTGTTTAATCGTATGATTAATAAAACACAAATGGAAAATTAAAAATTTCTTGACAGAGTAAATTCTGTATATTTCTGTATTTATAACAAAAAGTGGCAGATAAAAATTCAAGCGTCTTAATCGAAGCACGTGATTTTGGCCAATACTTTTCTTAAGCTCGTAATTTTGTTGATGTTTTATTTACCTGTCAAAAACGAATCCCGAACCTGATTTCTTAATTATTAAAGATTCTAACGAATAATCTAAATGTAATCCAAAAATTATAAGAACACCGACCAATAGAAACATTTTTATTCAAGAAAGGTTCGTGACAATAAACGGTAAACCCATATAGCTACTAAACACATAGAGGCCCTGCCTATGCTGGCAGTACAGGAACTTACGAAGCAACTATGTAACATTTTTTTGAGAAGGTCCACTTAACGTGGGCATGAGCGAGATTTAAAATTTCGTTTTTAACCAATGGCTGCTTTAATGACAAATTCTGACGTTGGACCCATAAGACTTTGCGGTTTCCACAAACAACACGGCCGCTGACAGATCGTCCATGTTTGGATACGACAGTTTTACGGCAGTATTTTCTAAAAATATGTCGAAATCCTATTAAACTTTCAGGCAAAAAAGCAGTTAAGATGTGGAAAAACAGTGCAGAATTGCAGCACCCGGCGTCAATATCAATCTGTAATTAATTTTGCGTTTTTGTTCTTTGAGCCCTGTAGATAGGATGAAATTATTACATGTATTTTTTCATGTAATCTATTTTTTCCGAGTTTTGTTATTTGTAAATCGACGCAAAGCGTTAGTTTTCATAAACTCATAGGTTTAACTGCTTTTGATGCTAGATATCGCACAAGAAACATCCTTAATGGAAAAAATGTTCAACAAGCACCTCTTATAGACAGTAGTTACGATGGGTATTTCCTATGCTTGTTTTAGTAAAAATTCAACTTGTAGCTTAATTGTTTTCTTATATTTACTTTAATTCTTGTACACGAAAATATATTACCCAAAAATTCTTCGAGGCTATTTAAGTGTACCTAAAAATGTAGGGAATTCTGTTTAGTAAATTCACATGTAAATATTTGTGTAAGTCTATTTTCCAGTTTGTTAAATGTCAAATATATAGGTATCTCTGTTTCTCTAAGATCCTATTATTCTATATTTGCCAGTTTGTTAAATGTCAAATATATAGGCATCACTGTTTTTCTAAGATCTTATTATCCTATTTTTGCCACATTTGCTGTAATTTCGTAAAAGAACAAAGCATTGAAAGCACAAATTATACAAGTTTGTGAATACAGTACGGAGATATTGACACCAAAAATGAAAACAACAATGGCACAGGGCCCTGGTCTGTGACAATAGTAATTACTTATTATAAAACTTAATTTTGCAATTAATCAAGATCCATACCTTCTCTATCATAGCCACCTGCGGCGCATCAATTATTACTGTAGTAGTGCCAGTATGTTATCTTATAGCTATATGGAAGAACACAATAATTTATTAGTTTTATAGAAGCAATAATCAAGGAAGAACCTACAACAGTGCTATATTTAGGGGGAGTGGGATAGTAAAGTCTGTTCATAGATATTAGAAAGTGACTAACCGATACGAATTAAGGAAAGACCCGGGCAAGCTGTAAGAATGAAATATGGCCGAACAAGTCCGTACTTTGCTTAGAATTTAATGATTTGGGGATTTGATAGGAAAGATACTAAACAATATTTATTTATGTTTAAATCTAAAATAAAATTGCAAATTATTTTTATTACCTACTTAAAGTACTTAAAATTATTCACATAATATATCAGTATCATTGTCGCTATCATCGCCTGTTCTAATTATTATTTGTTCTATATTATTTGCACATTGGATATACGATTGTTCCGCTTTTTCTATATGTTTAACAGAATTTGCCCAACTTTGTGGATGGATGTTAAAAACTTCGGTTTTTATAAGTTCGAGGACATTGGCGTTAACACGGGGAAAAACATTGTTACGACGAATGGCAGATTTCAGTTGGTGCCAAACATGTTCAATGGGATTAAATATACAGTGGTAAGGTGGAAGCCTTAAAACTGTATGCCCTAGATTTTTTGCATAATTAACACAGACGTATTCCTTTTGTAGGTTCAAGCTTTGTAGAACCTTGATTAATTGCCTTTTGGTATAATCTTCGTGAAAATAAATGTCGTTATTATACATGTAGTTTTGGATTGTTGCTTTTGTGTCACATGAGGAAGAGGTTTTAGTCAACTGTCTACTGTGATAACTTGCATTGTCCATTACAATGACGCTATTAGGAGGAATGTTTGGAACTAGTTTGTTTTTAAACCAACTTTCCAATAAATCAGCGGTGGTGTCTTCATAGTAATCCAGAGAAGAATCTTTAATATTTTTCGCAGACAGAGAAAGTCCATTTGGAATCCGACCATCTTTAGAGCCAGCATGCAAAATAGTTATTCTTTTACCTCTTTTTGATGGCGCGTTTGTTTTAACTTATCAGTTGAGTCAACCCAACCCTTTTCCGGGGTATCATAAGTGTCGAACCAGGTTTCATCCAAGTAAATAATTGGCCCTTGTCGTTCTCTATAAATCCTAATTTTTTCTAGATATTCCAGTCGCCATTTCCGAATTCTAAAAGATTCCATTAAAACTTGCCTTTTGTCATTTTTTTTTTAAATCTAAAACCCATGTATACACTTCCATAAGGTAGTTCTGCCACATTTAACACCGGTTTCATCTTTTTCAAGCTTCCTAATTAAGATATCTAATGTAGGCATGCTTTGTTCTTCGTATAACTGGTAAATTTTACGCCGTATTATATCTTAATCGCTTTCATCTACACTCGAGAAAATGTCAGCATCACTTCTGTTTTTCCTCGCTGAAATGGGATTATTCACAATTTTCCATACAGTTGATGCTGGAATTTTCGTCAATGTGGCCGTTTCTTCTAAAGATGCTTGCTTGCTGGCACCACGTTCAATGAGAGTCAAATAAAACTTCCTTAGTCTCAATAGAATAGTGTTCTCTACATTTGGGCGGGAGCATCTCCTGAGATACACTAGCCTCGCACATATTTTGCATAATTCGCACACGATTCAACACACGAAATAAGAATGATTACTAATAAACTTAAATTAAGTAGTAGACCAAACCAAAGAATATTAAACACAGGTAGGTATAAAATTATTTTCTATTTCGGACCACAATTTTACCTGAATTTAAATTCCGAAACTTTAGGTAATAATCTTGTTGCATTGTATGTTAATGACCACCCTTGGATAATCCCCTTCAAAAGCAATTGGTCACTTTCTTATATCTATGAACAGACCATACCAGGTATTCTTTTCTTTTTGTGTTTGTGGTACACGTTACTAATGGCAGTGTAATAATAGAGTGGTTTCTATTATTTCACAATTTTTCTATATGCCTGTTTGAGTTTTTGGTGTTAATTTATAACGATTTGGACTAAGTGATTAATTTTGGGTAGCAGACTATTTTCGACGGTATAAATCTTGTGGTGTATTTTTTAAAATTTTCTTGTATTGCATATGACCTGTTTGTGTTTATAAATAAATAATTATTTAACGATTTTCGTTTAGTTAAATAAATATAATCATATGAATAAAGTATTTTTATGTAATAACGAAAACTGATAACTTGATTTTAACATTTGTATGGCATGAGAATGAATATTTGTGCGTATTTAAAAAAAAATCCTTTTTCAAGAAATAAAACATATTGGTATGTTCTTATTCAGTTAAATAAGTGTGTATTTTAAGTTATTTTTTAAGTAATATTTATAAAACGTACATACTGCTATTTTCTGAGTACTTTTTTTTTCAAAAACGTTAGAAAGGACTTCAATATTTAAAATTTCTAAGTGGCAAAATTTGTATGCGCTTGTTTCGGAGACTTTTAAACAACTTATACTATAAATTTTATTTTTTACAAATATTTAAAGAAAATATTGTTTGATCATCCAATAACTAATACATAAATAATTTCAATACGAATTAAGCATAGTTAAACAACGAGAACACCCCAATCTCCCATTTATATAATATAAATGAACTAGAGGAAGACAAGAAGCACGCTGTTGTCATTCCAGCTTAGATTGCCACTGCGTGGTAGTGAGCACGTGCAACTTCAACTTAATTTTGACATTTGACATTGGCCTCGTCAAAGTTCGCCATTAAAATTAGGTCAATAAAAGCGAACAGTGAAACTGCACTATCATAATTGTACGTTGCAACAATAAAAATTGTAATATTATCGTAGCCTCGTCGAATAATTAATACGAGAAACGTTTCAACGATACTTACGCTTGCTTGTGTTGTTAATTTGCTACAAATTGTCTCCAATATGTCATAAAATCGGTCAGGAAATTATCTGAAATTAGATTCGGTTTTTGGTATATTGGTCTCACGGTAAATTCCAAATAACTCGGTCGATTTTCGCGATTGACGTAGCGTCTACCGACATGCGTTTCTTTCCCTAACGAAAATGCATAATTTTATTTACACGCAGGCGACCTTGAAAACGCGTTCTGCAATATAATGTTTAAATTGTTGCTACAGTTTGCGCTTGTTCTAGCGTAATGTTCAAGTCAACCGAAATACTAAATTTCTCCCGGATAAAATCAAAGGAGCTTTTCGTAGGAAAATACAAAAAGTGAACAATGAAAACAGGATGAGCCGTTATTAAAACAGTTTTTTGGCGCAT